AAATATATATTTCCTTGCTAGATCAAAAACTGCCAAAGGGAAATGAACCCATAGTCTTGCAACATGCACAAAAGGAAGCACATTTCCATCTTGCCTTAATATGTAAATTCTTTACACATACAACTCCATCAGTTATTTTGGGGCGGCATATTCTCACAATATTTAATTGTGACTGGCTTCCTCTAGCTTTACACACACACACACACAAATATATATATAATGATTTAATATGATGGACTAAAATATCCATCCATCACAGTAACAGGAAGCCATGGGATGTATTGTGTATTTGTTGTAATTATCACCTGAAGTGGTGCATTAATAGTGCAAAACTTATTTTGCTACCTATTATTTGATCTTATTCCTATGTAAGCCAGTGTTTCTATCCATATTCAGGAAAACAACTGTGATAAAGAATACACTACTGTATGAATGTTTTCAGATCCCACAGCTAATAAAAATGGAAACATCTGGCAATTAACTCTTCTCTTCTTACAATCTACAATCTAAATCCTATTCCACAGGAAGACTGATGCTGTCAAATTATATTTTAACACATCTATTAAGTAGCCCCACCTAATAAAGAAATTCTGCTTCAACCCTGGATGCAACAAGTGTTTTTCATGGGCCACAGAGATTTAGCCACATCCTTTCCCTTCCCATCAGCTCTGCTGAGGATTTCTGCCTTCTCCCTACCATTAGCAGAAGAAAAACAAGGATTGTAAGGAGGACCCTTGGAAGAAATATGGGTTCACTGCTTCCCCTTCTCAAGCTCACTTAGGTTCTCACTGTTAATCACAGTAGGAAAGCAGTGATGCTGAACAGATTCTTTGGAAGTGGAAGCCTTGCCCTCCTCTTTCCAAGTGATTGTTCTAAAAATATGCAGATTTTTAATTGCCATTATTTTTCATCATCAAGTATCTGATCAGCTGGGCTTTGAGAGGAAGCACCAGAGTACTCTGGTTCATATCAACGGTGGCTAGGGGTTTTATGCAGCCAAAGGACCATAGGTTATTATTATTATTATTATTAGATTTTTATCCTGCCTTTTTTTTTAATTTGGTCAACTCAAAGCAGTGAACATACTTAATATTCCTGCCCCCTATTTTTCCACTACAACAACCCTGTGAGGTGGGTTGGGCTGAGAGAGAGTGACTGGCCCAAAGTCACCCAG